CTAAGGGTATGTCTACACTACCCCGCTAGTTCGAACTAGCGGGGTAGTGTAGACATACCCTAAGGTATCACAGGATTCCTTGTTGTTTTTACAGATACAGACTAACATGGCTACCAGTCTGATGATAATAATGGTTATGACACAAATGGAGGTTTAACAATGGGAACCTTCTAATAGAAAAAGAGCTATACTGCATTTAGTGGGCCTGATTCTCCAGCATAAACCAGTTGTCCATTGAGTGACACCACTGTAAAATAGCTGAGCAGAGAATCAACCTGAACATATTTGAGGATTCCTTGGGTCAGAAGCGGGATGGGAGGGTGGGAACAGGCAGCTTCATTTACTGGAGGGCTACAAATATTACCTTAGGGATTTTGGTTTCTCCTTTACCAAGACCCTTGCCTACAGCCATCGTTCCTGTGAGAGTCTCTGTAGTCGTTTCTTCACCTTCATTCTCTCCGTTGTTTCCTTTATTTGATTGCTCCTGCTGAGATATTACATGACACTGGTCACAGAGGATGTTTTGGTTTTGACAGAGAGATAAAATAATCCCATCATGTGAGCAGTAAACATATAAATAGAGGGAATTCTCATTCCCTTCTTTCCTTCCTCTGTCTTCCTTAAATACCAAAGGAAAGCACTCTTTCTTGGGAGCCTATGGTGCCAATAATTGCAGGGAAAACAAAAAATCCTGAATTTGTGTTTTGGCTGTGGAATTCAAGAGTAAATATTTTAGAATACTGTTTTCAAAAGCATATTCATATGCAAATCCCATTGTGTGAACAAAATTATAAGCAGGAATTTAGTAATGAGGTAGAGGAGGCTTTGGGTTTATGGGGCATATTAAAAGAAGATGCTTGAGGTGATGTTTTAGTCTCACCATGCACAATTCGGCATATGAAACTCATATTTGCATGTAAAATTGTGTATTTCTATGGTAAAATGTAAGCCCTATGGCTAAACTGTCACATCTATATGTATGCAATTAGTAGCACGTGCAAAAACGCACATGCACTTGCAACCTCAATGTACACGAAGTTACAGTTATCTTGCATGAAGTAACCATAATTACGTAAGTTTCAGAGAGGTAGACAAGTTATTCGGTAATAGAAAAAACTTAAAACACAAATAGTCTGGTAGCGCTATAGTGAGCAATTCTAGTAAGACTCTGTGGGTGTGACTAGACTACATCCCTCTGTTGGCAGAGGGATGTAAATGAAGTACTTTGAAAGTTCAAATGAAGCCGGGATTTAAAATAGAAGCCAGGATTTAAAATAAAAGCCTTTTTCGAAAGAACTGCGTCTAGACTGCAGTTTCAATTTTTAAATAGCTCTTTTTCGAAAGAGCACCATTACGTGATTATGCAAATGAAGCGTGGGATATTTAAATCCCAGCTTCATTTGCATTTTCGAAGTGCTTCATTTATATCCCTCTGCTGACAGAGGGATGTAGTCTAGACCTAGCCTGTGTGAACAACTGAAACCACTTTTAGTTTTGTGTCTCGAACTAATGTTTTTCCAATTTTTTTTCACAGTTATATCATATCTTAATATAGAAATCCTATAACTGACTGCTAAGATCCTAGCAGTACATAATCATGCAACATCCCAAAGAACCCTAACTCTGCTCGGAAAACTGAGACTACTTTGGGTTTTGTATTTTCCCAGGGATTTTTTTTGAGACGTCAATGAAAACCAAAACTAATCCCATTCTTTCTTTGTAATTAAACTTTGGTAACTAAAGCAGATTTTTTTTGTTTTGGTTCCTTGAATAACAAAGTTTGTCATTTGAGAGTAGATGAAAATAACCAGTGAAGAAATAGAGAGCAAAATGAATCAGTTTGTTGGAAAGAAGGAAAAAACATAGAGATACAACAACAAAACAGCACAGAGGGAAGAGTGAAAAGTTATAATGAACAAACAAAAATTATATAGGGTCCCACTTATGCCAGACTGACTTTTGAGGTTTGTTTTCTGTCTCTAACACAGCTGTGTATCAATCTATTCTGGCTTTAAAAAGGGTTAGATATTTCTTCTGGAAATATCTATTTAAAGTATGGTGATTAATCTTGTCCTTGGGGTGGAAATGAAGGCTCTGGCTTCCCAGGGATGTGGAATGAAGAATAGGTAGTTTTAGTGTTCAGTTAAATACTGGCTCATTTCACTTCTGAGACTACTGATGTTCTCCAAGCTGCAACTAGAGAAGAAATAAACCTATTTCTTTAATTATAGATAGATACATGGTGCTTGTGCTGGTTTTTTTAGTAAGTCCTCTTGTTACTCTGGCAAGCCTGGCTCTATTTTTCTTTCTTACTTTTGCACACATCTTCCAAGTATACTGCTCAGAATCTAAAGAGCAATCAACTTCGGCCATCTGAAGAAGTGGGCTGTGCCCACGAAAGCTCATGATACCATCTACATGTTTCGTTAGTCTATAAAGTGCTACCAGAACATTTGTTGTTTTTTCTGTAACAGACTAACTTGGCTACCCCTAAAGCTCCTTAAATCTTGGGTTAATTTAGTGCAAGTTGAAGCTTTAGTTATTTCCAATCTGTTGAAAGAGCCACCAAATTGCTTGGTGCGGTTGTCCATGTGGATAGGAATAAGAGGTTGTCATGGGGCCAATAAAATAATTACCATAGTTAAGATGTTTATTTAGCCATTGCTGAGGTTCTGCCTTTTCATTATAAATTATCTTTCTTTCTACTGTTCTTCAGGCTAAAATATACCACTGAGTTGTCTTAGCCTGGAAACCACTTTTTTTTTTAAACTGAGAATAAAGTCAATGTTTCTTCAAGTCATTTTGGTTCACTTCAGAAATGATCATCTGAAACCTCTAATTACGTAAACAAAATTCATATGGAAACTTTAGAGTTACAAGTAAAAGCACTTTAAAGGAGAAGTTCAAAGGCTGCAGGGTGGGTTGGGGGTTACACCACCCCAAACAACAGGACCCGAGTTTATATCTTCAGGGGTCTGGGTTTCTCCTGCAAGAGTTGTTTTTATCACCCACATCTAAATAGTTGAAGGTGGGGGTGCGGTCTGGAGGGCTGTAAGGGGGGACGAGTCCCCCTGCTCCCGGCGCGACTGTCAGCTGGGGCAGACTGTCCTCAGTGCGCCACGACCGCGTCGCGTCACCAGGCGGGGAGGGCCATGCCAGGGTGCCCGGGGTCTGCGGCGATGTCGGCAACCCACCCGACCCGTCTTGAAAGTGAATGGGGCGGTAAGTCCCACTGTTTGTCCTCCTGCCTGTACAGTTTCAGTTCTGTAGATTTATGTTTTGTATGGAGATACTGGTGGCCTGTATTGCTTATGCTTCTCTCATTTCTCCATGCACAAGGTGCTCAGGTAATTATTGCTTCCCATGAACCTGACAGATTTTTTCAGCTGCCTTTGGGCTTTATAGATTCATATAGCATGCCCAAGATTTAACCCTAAATATTTGCAAATAAAAGTGTATGGTCATTTTTAACATGTATAGTTAGGTATATACATGTGTAATTAACGCCTGTGGGTAGTGTATAAGTGGATGGAAGGCCAGGTAAGCACAATGTATGTAATGACATCACTGTAACCCATAGCAGTCAGTCAAGCCAAAAATTAAGGATGTAAATCTCTGGGCAGTTGGTAATCCTGACCATTTGCGGAGACCAGACTACTAAAAAATTCCTATTTTTGTTTTTATACTACTTTTTTTTACAATGGCCATGCAAGTTACATACCCCTTCTTCTTCTTCCTCCTCCTCCTCTGAGCTGTCACCATCCCCCCCATCTTCTTCTGATGAATCACTGTTCTAAACAATTAAAAAAATTGTGAGCATTTCTTTTCCTGTGCTTCCAAATAATGCAGAAGACATGCAATATATACATACTTGTAAGGTCAAATTCAGCACCTAGACATTTGCGTGTAGCTTCCAGCAAAGCTTGTGTGTTTCTGAGGATTGCATATAAAATACAGAAAAAATTCTGCAGGGATAACTGATCTACAAGGTTAGCCAGACAGTTTAAAGGATTCTGGTGATCTTTTGATGATGAACATGAAACTTGTGATGGAGAGTTATGTGGAAAAGGGTTTGTAATGTCAATGGAACCTTGACAGATGTGAATGTAATTCAGGGGTGAGCAATAATTTTCTTGGGGGGCACTTCACAAGTTTGCTATGTAGTTGCAGGCCAGCTCTGGGCCCCCCAAAAGAGGTGAAACCTCGAGCAGAAGGTGTGGGACTGGGGGCCACAGAGAGAGACAAAGACTGCATGAGTGTGAAAGTAAGACACTTTGTGTGTGTGAGACAGACTTTGTGACACAGATTGATGCCATGTCTACACTGCAGGGGGGGGGGTTCGAAAAAAGATGTGCAAATTGTGAACCACAATTTGCATATTTTTCCACTTTTTTTCCCAGAAGAGGCTTTTCCGACATTTGGTCGCGTGTGGATGGGGCCAAATGTCGGAAAAACCTTCTCTTTCAGAACATCCCTTATTCCTCATAACATGAGGAATACAAGGATGCCAAAAAAACACGTCCACTTTTTTTGGAAACTGTTCCAAAAAAGCGGAAGCATTCTTTGGACGTGGAAGAGCTTTTCTGGGATACCGCTGATATCCCAGAAAAGCTCCGCAGTGTAGACATACCCTGAGTGTGTAAAGCAGTGTGTATGTGACTGTGTGTGTGGCACAGACTGGGAGTGTGTGTGCTGGATGCTACTAGGTAAGTTTCTGAGAGATGCCAGGCTCTGTCTCTTTAAGGGAAATCTGTCCTGCTCTGTTCTCTCCCCCTCCTTTGCTCTGCACTCCTCTGAGTTACCTACCATCCACGCTTCAGATTGGAGCAGCTCTGCCATGTGTCTCCCTCTCCCTGGTCCTTTTTTTCAAGCTGGCTGGCTGCATGTATTGGTACCTGTGGAGCTGCCCTCCCTCCACTGCTGACTCTCTATCTCCGTGGGATCCCCAGGAGTGGGGCTGGGAGCAGGAACTATTAAATAATCGTGTAACTGCAAAGTTATGATGCAGTCACATGATTATTCAGTTAATCGACATCTAACATCCCTACTATCTTAGTGGTTGTGGGGGAGAGTTCCATGCAATGGGTTGGGTGGGGGGTATGCAGAAGCTTGGGGAGTGTGCAAGGGCTCAGGGCAAGGGGGTGGTATATGTGTGTTGGGGGGAATGTGTGTCAGGGGCTTTGGGCTGTCCTGCCTCTCAGGGTTCTGTTCCCAGCCAAAGGCTGGGGGGAGGGAGGGGAGAGAGTGCTGCATACAAGCAAAAGTTGTATTGCGCAAAGAGGCTCGGCTCCCTTCCCCACCCCCCTTCCCAATCCCAGGGTTGCGTGTCACATGCCTCCACTGCATCTAGTAAGCATGGTGAGAGGACAGCCTGGGAGCTAGCAAGAACCTGGCTGCACATGCATGCCCCCGGCACTGGCCCTTTCTTACCGGTATGGAACACTAGCCTACTTTCACCTTTATTCGGGGGGTCTGGAGAGGAAAGGTATAGGCAAATCTGCAAGGCTCACAAGCATTTTTGGCCTTGGAGCTTGTGTCTTTTGTATGTTGACATTTGTGTTTAGCATAATTAGGCACTATATAATAGATGGTTCACAGGATTCTAATGCTTTGAGTGACAGCTAGAGATGGGGGCCCACACAAAAATAATCTTTGTACCCAAGGAACATGCTAAATCACTGTGCTGCGGGGACATTATTTAGAACATTTCTAGGTTCCGAGGAAACCTATTCTTGTGCCACTGCATCCAACTGCATTACAGTCAAAAGCAATGAGTCCATTAAAAATAATTTCAAACTGCTACTTTTAAAAAAAGCTTTTACAGTAATTAATTCTGCCATTTCTTCTATCTATACTTTTCAGTTATAAGCAAAATCATTTCTTTCAATGAAATCTCCTTTGCTGTGTGATGCACTATGTAATTCCACCTGCTGCTTTCCTGTATCCCTGAGCCAAGCCAACATGTGCCATTTCCAGAGGCCACACTGAGGTAAATGATGTCATATTCTTCATAGTACCACCAGGCACGATGCAATCCAGTCAAAGTCTGGGAATTAAGTGGCCTTTGTTTATTGTTTTAAAATTAGTGTAATTATTTTATCTTCTATGACAATGAGACTCTTAAAGGAGGTGTTTTGTGTCAGTGTCTCCTTTCTACTGTGAAAGACTGTCAAGATACCATGGGGAATTCACTGGGGAATTTACTGTTACCTGCAGCAGCCCCCAGTTTAGGGGTCATGTTGGGGGATAGTCCCAAAGAGAGAGAGATGTGCAGGGGGCATTCCCACATCTACTTCTGAATGTCAGCTAAGCCCATTGCCAACTGTGCACAAGCAAAACCAGTCAACTTGCTGGGGAAGCCAACTCCCAGGGGTGCCACATTTTTCATCATTCTTTTTGTTCTTGTTGTTGCTGTTTGGCTGGTTGACCCAACCTTTTCGGTGTGTTGTGTGTGTGTGTGTATGTTTTGTTTTCAATTCAGCCATTTGGGAGGTTCCAAAAATGTTTTTTGCGGTGGCAGGAAAATATCAAAGGCCATCCCTTGACATGAGTTAGGGCGGCTTAAAGAATTGATGCAATGAGCCTGATTCTCCTTTCACTTACTCCTAACTTACATTAGTATAACTTTGCTGACTTCAGTGGAGTAAATCCTGATTGACACCGCTACAAAAGAATCAAAATCAGACCCAGTGCTTGTACACAATCCATAACATCAGATCATCAGGCAGTTGTGCACCATCTGAGAATCTGCCCTTCTGTAGGAGGTGCACTTATGCCAGTTCAGCTTTTGGAGATTTCTTTCTCTAAACCAGGGGTGCACTTGGCCCTCCACTCTCAGGCAGGCTCCTTACCTGCTGGGGCTCCATGCTGCTCTAAGCAGCTGGCTGCTGGGGCCATGTGCATTTCTGTCACACATGCCTTGGGGGGGGGGGGAAATTTGTGCACTGCACATGTGCACAAGCATGGCCTGGGCTGCTCCCATTGGTTAGTTTCCAGCTAGTGAGAGCTGCAAGAATTGTTCTGGGGTCAGGTGCAGTGTGTGAGGATCCCCTCTCCTCCATGGGGCTAAGATTTCTTACCAAATGTTTCTCAAGCCAAAACAAAACTATATCAAGTATGCAGTGCAGAGATGTACAGAGCTCCAGCAGCAGAATGCTTTCAACAGTGTGTGTGGGAGGGGCAATGAGGGAGCCTGCCTGTGGGTCTTGCTGAGCTGATGGCCAGGAGCCACCTTAGGTAAGCACCTCCTGGCTGTAGCCTATACCTGGCACCCCATCCCCTCCATGCGCCAGGTAACAGCCCAAACCCTCTGCACTCCCTCCAACTTTCCTCCCACCCAACCTCTTTCCCAGATGCCACACCTCCTCCAGCATCCCAATCCCCTACCTGGAGTTCTTTTCTTCTCCCAAGCTCCATTCCAGAGCCTGTGCCGCCTCCATTAACATAGAAGAATCCTTGACCTCTTCTTGAAGTGGCCCCATCAAAAATTATTGCCCACCTCTATTCTAAAGCATACTTGATTTAGTTTTGTTTTGGCTTGAGAAACATTTGGTATGAAATCTTAGCCCCATTGAAGTCCAGGAGATTTTTGCCATTGAGTTTCATAAGGGGATTTCACCCATAGGCTTTTGTTTTTAAAATATTAATATAAACCAATAATAATTTATTTGGCTCCATTTTAAACTGTAGAGGGAAAGTTTCATAGGCCCAAAAGGGAATTTAAGACATTTGCAGGATCTTGAAACAATTAAGGAATAAAATAGCATTCCTAACAGTCTTTGGGACAACCAAGGCCTAATTCAAATATTGTGCAAATGTGTTCTACTCCATTGCTTTCAAGGTGATGTTGATGGAATTATTCCTGCTAAAGTTTAATTCAAATATATTTGAATTGTTCCAAATAACTTTCAATCATCTGAAATTGGCAATCATTTTTGTCCAGTAAGAATCTAATTATGTTAGATGGACTATTATGAAATGAGCAAAGTTAAATCTGTTAAGGAGACGACTTTTACCTGAATTCTTCTTTGTGGAGGATACACATAGGCATATCTGTTAAAATAATATCTGTGTCTGTTCTTGAAAACCTAGTGAAAAAGTTTTAAAAAAGTCAATTTTGGTTTCAGGTATTGACATTTAAGAACTAAGAAATCATAATTCTAATACACTAAAATGATCCTACAAGGCTGATACCATACCGCATTTTCTTCTGAATCATCTGATTTTGCTCTTCTGCGGAAGCTTTTTGCCTGTTGGAAAAGGTTATGTTAATGAATGGTTCTCCTACTTAAAAATGGCAGCAAGGTTAAGTCACTGGAAAGTGGTATTCTAGTGTCTCATAAGTGATCTATAAGAGTTTGTCACTTGTTGGAATCACTTACTGAGAAAGCACAGGCTATTCCTAAAAGGCAGATAAAGATAATTGCCGTCCTCATTGTTGTATTTTCTGAAATAACAAGAAGGGTAATGTCAGTGTATTTACTTCACACTTATGAAACGTCAACACAGCAAAGAAGCTCTTGCGAGTTGCAACAATGAATGCATCCAGAAATATTCCAGTGACACTTAGACAGAGACGAACACACGTGCACACACACATATAGATGCATGGAGATTGGCATTGCAATACTGTCATTTCTGGGGTTGAATATGTCACTTAGGCTACGTCTACACTGGCATGATTTTCTGAAAATGCTTTTAACGGCAAAGTTTTCCGTTAAAAGCATTTTCGGAAAAGCACGTCTAGATTGGCAGGATGCTTTTCCGCAAAAGCATTTTTTGCGGAAAAGCGTCTGTGGCCAATCTAGATGCGGTTTTCTGCAAAAAAGCCCTGATCGCGAAAATGGCGATTGGGGCTTTTTTGCGGAAAACAGTACTGTGCTGTTTACACTGGCCCTCTTGCGCAAATGATTTGCGCAAGAGGGCTTTTGCCCGAACGGGAGCAGCACAGTATTTCCGCAAGAACACTGACGATCTTACATGAGATCATCAGTGTTCTTTCGGAAATTCAAACGGCCAGTGTAGACAGCTGGCAAGTTTTTCTGCAAAATCATATGATTTTGCAGAAAAACTTGCCAATCTAGACACAGCCATAGGGTATATCTATGCTACAGATGGGGGCCAGCCAAAGTAGACAGACTCACACTAATACTGCTTGGCTAGTGTGCCCCCACAAGCAGCATAGATCTAGTGCACAGTCAATGGAATGGGGTAGCCACCTAAGCTTGAGTTGGAAGGGCATAGACCTGGCCAGCTAACCTGACTAATGTCCATGTTACAATATCCATGCTGCTATTTGTACCACGCTAACTAGAACAGATCTAGTACAAATCTGCAGACTCACACTAATACTGCTTGGCTAGTGTGCCCCCACAAGCAGCATAGATCTAGTGCACAGTCAATGGAATGGGGTAGCCACCTAAGCTTGAGTTGGAAGGGCATAGACCTGGCCAGCTAACCTGACTAATGTCCATGTTACAATATCCATGCTGCTATTTGTACCACGCTAACTAGAACAGATCTAGTACAAATCTGAGGAATGGAGAAAATATGGACTGCATCTGGCCCACCAAACCTTTGAATACAGCCCGCCATGATACTCTGGGTTGCCAATGTTCCATGGCCCAGCAGGTCCCTCTCTGCCTGCCACAGCCCTATACTACTCCAAACAGCTAGCTGCTAGGGCCATGTGCACATCTGCACTGTGCATCTTTTGGGGGGAAGAAAACTTTGCATGTTATACATGCCTACAAGCATGGCCAGGCAGCTTATATTACAGGCAGTCCCCGGGTTACATGGATCCGACTTACATCGGATCCCTACTTACAAACGGGGTGAGGCAACTCCGCACTAGCTGCTTTCCCCCAGCAGACCAGGGAGACGCGAAGCTAGCGCCCCCCCCAGCAGACCAGGGAGACGCGGAGCGGCTTTTCTCAGCAGACACCTCAGCTTGAGAATAAAGGACTGAGGGAAGTGAGGTGTGGGAGAATAAAACTGAGCTCTGGAGAAATGTTTGGCTAGAGTTTCCCCTACAATATGTACCAGTTCCGATTTACATACAAATTCAACTTAAGAACAAACCTACAGTCCCTATCTTGTACGTAACCCGGGGACTGCCTGTAGTTGGTTTCCACACTTGGCCCCAGCATCTGACTGCTTTGAGCGTCATGTTGGGATGCAGTTGGCAGGGAGCTTGCCTGCTGGGCTGCTGGCTAGGATAACCACCACCTGACACCCCTCTCCCTTTCTCCCCCCCTCCTGCCCCATGTCACAACCCAAACCCTCTGCATTCCCTCCTACACCTCTGCCCGGGTCTCAACTCCCCCTCAGACCCTGCACCCCCTTGTACACTCCTCTCCCAGGTCAAAATCCTCTCCTGTACCCAAACCCCCTCCCGGACCCTGCACCCCAATTCCCTGCCCCAGATCACAATGCCCTCCTTCACCCTAACCTCTTCCCAGATCCCACATCTCCTGCACCCTAGTACCTTACCCCAAGGTCTCTTCCACACTCATCCTCCATCTTAGACTTCATTCTCCTGCACCCTAGTACCTTACCCCAAGGTCTCTTCCATACTCATCCTCCATATTAGACTTCACTCCTCCATTAACATAGAAGAGTGCAGCCCTTTGCCACTTACCAAATTCTTGGAGTTGCCCCCTATCAAAAATTATTGCCCACCCCTTCCTTAGAGCATGTCTACTTCATTGCAGTTAAATTATCTCATGAATTTAGCCTTGTTTTTCTGATGGTGGATCTTTCATTAACTGATCCTGGTCTACGAATGTAGTTGTCATTCACCAAATTGTTCACAAACTATATTCAATCAGTTTTTTCCTTTGTGAACTAATTCATAGTTTGCATTTTGTGACTGGTCTTTTAAACCATATGGAATTGTTTCTGCTCCTTGATTGGATGACTTGAAATATTTTTAAAACAGGAGAACAGTGAGTGATGAATAGTGAGCAATTACAATGAAAAATGCACATCTAATTTGAGTCCTTGGCCAAATAATCCTTAATATTAGAAATACAAAACCTCTGGGAATTGCACACATTTTCACAAATAAACTGGCAGTTGTCTGAATACTCATGAATGAATATTATCACCCCACAAATTACAGATGAGCAAGATTTTTGCATTAATTTATGAAAATATTGAGTCTTTTTCTGTATTATTCAATGCAGGGGTGGGGGCTGCATCCAGCCCCTGGCTTGCCTAGATCCAGCCCCTGAGGCTCAGGGCTCCACCCCCCCAGCATTGGGGAGCCCGCATTGATGAGGAATGGGGTTTTTTTCTCACTTTTGTGCAGTTCCTGACTGATTTTTCTGTGAGTCAGTGGCCCCCAACTCAAAAAAAGTTCCCCACTAAGGATGTGAATGACTAATCGACTAGTCGCTTCCCCTACCACTACCCTTGCTGCCTCTATCAGAAAGAGGCAGTGGGAGGGGGGAGGGGGCGCTTCGAAGCAGCAGCGCCACATGGAGCCACAGCACTGCTGCTTTGAAATGTCATGTGGAGCCCAGGGCCAGCTGGGGACTCCCCCTCTGACCCTGGGCTTCATGCGGCGCTGCTGCTTTAAAACACCATGGGAAGCTTGGGGCCAGTGGGATATTGCTAGAGTCTCCTGCTGGCCCCGTGCTCCCAGCAGCGCTTTCAACTTTGAAATTTAGCAACAGCCCTGAGGCTCTTGCTATCCTTCAAAGGCGGAGGCACCCTTATCGACTAATCAAATAGACAATGCAAATTGCATTGACTATTCGATTATCCAGTTAATCAAAATGTTACATCCCTATTCCCCGCTCCTTTTCTAATGTCAAGAGAACACAGTAGCACTATGTAAGAAGTCAAGATTTTTGAACTATCAGAAGGAAATATTTAGCTAGGTAGCCTGTAATTATCCACCCTGGAATGTAGCTAATTCCTTATGGTTAATTCCTCTATCCTTGTGAATGGCTCCATGGAAACTTTAATGATCTCAAGTGGATTTTTATGTTTTGAAGATACTTCCTGTCTCACAGTTTAGCATTCTTACTGTAGCAAAATCTCAACTTACAATTAGATAATGTCACCACAACCAGGGCTGCCAAACATGGGGTTTCCTTATAAGTTTCCGATCCAAGTAATAAACTTCTCTAAGCCTTGTAATCAGCTGATTAGCAATGAGAGGACAATGTGATCTTACATAATATTAATATGTGAAGATCCTGATATTTGTATGATATACATTCGGACCCCTGAATAACCTGATCTGAATAATGGTCTATTCTATAGGGGAGGGGGACATGGACCCTAATGTCCCCGTGCAAATTGGCAAGCTCTGAGCATCTGTCACCCTGTGCTTTGGCTGCATTCCAGTAGTGACTGGGACCAGGGGTTCACTTGTGCCCAGCACAGACCCCAAAGGTGTCAATTGTGCGAGGCTCCACAGAGCTCATAATCTGAGCAGACACAGGCAGACTCATCATCCAAGGTCATCTAGCAAAGAAGTAGCAGACCTGGAACTAGAACCCAGGAATCCTCACTCCCAGCCCCGCTACTCTTCCCCTCAGCTGCTTCCCAGCCAGGAACTAACTCACTCTCCTCCAGCCCTGCCCCCCAGCCAGGGCAGCATTCCACCTCCCTTTGTTCCTCTCCATGGGGGTCAGCTGGCCAAACCAGTTGGGATACCCTCTTTGCATAGTGACTCATCGCTTCTCTGCTCGGTGGTGCTACAGACAGCAGCCAGAGAGTTAGCAGGTTACTCCCCACTACGTCACATGCACATTTCCTCAAACCTACTTGAGCTCTTAGGACAGTGAAAGCTCTGGAAATCATGCTCTTAATTCTAGTTGTCCCCAGCAGTGAATTAGTGGCCTACTATAGGGTTTTTGAGAAACAGCTGACTCCATTATCTACTGTCTTTAGACAGTAGCAGGTCTACTACCTCTTGAGCCTTGCAAGATCCTACGATATATGTCCTGAAGTGAAAAAGTTATATAGAACAGGACCAGGAAACACATCTCTAGTTCTTATTCAGTGTTTTCTGTATGTCCTCTAAGTCTGTTTCTCACAAACAAACTTTTAGTGCTAAGACGATTCAGACTCTTACCAGACTCCTTCTCCTACCCACCCTCCTCCCCCAAAAAAGCAAGTCTGAAATCTAGCCACTAGGAATCAAATTCAAACCTTGTGCAAGTAGGTTCAACTACACTATAGTTCATGACATTTTAGAACTTGCACTGGTCTGATTTGGTTTAATTTAGTTGCCATGATTCTTCACTGAATTACAGATTTATGTTTGGAAGCAGTAAACACAGATCCTGAAAGCAAAAATATCAATAACTTGCACAACTGCTTATTTCATTAAAACATTGAGACATAAGGTGTCAGATCTTGATCTGATGTAAATCAATGTAACTCTGTTGACTTCAGTGGAATTATATTGATTTATATGAACAAGATCTGGCCCCAAGCTTGCAAATTATACCTGTATATAATATATGAAATATAACACCTAAAACCTTTGTCTTTGGGATAATTTCTGTATTTAAATTTGTAACAAAACAAGTAGCATTAATTTTTTAAGCTGTGGAAAAATCTGTTTCTTCCATTCTATGAATTTTTCCCATTCTG